TGAATGGAATTTGTGTAAGAGATGCTTTGAATGGAATTTGTGTAAGAGATGCTTTGAATGGAATTTGTGTAAGAGATGCTTTGAATGGAATTTGTGTAAGTGATGCTTTGAATGGAATTTGTGTAAGAGATGCTTTGAATGGAATTTGTGTAAGAGATGCTTTGAATGGAATTTGTGTAAGAGATGCTTTGAATGGAATTTATGTAAGAGATGCTTTGAATGGAATTTGTGTAAGAGATGCTTTGAATGGAATTTGTGTAAGAGATGCTTTGAATGGAATTTGTGTAAGAGATGCTTTGAATGGAATTTGTGTAAGAGATGCTTTGAATGGAATTTATGTAAGAGATGCTTTGAATGGAATTTGTGTAAGAGATGCTTTGAATGGAATTTGTGTAAGAGATGCTTTGAATGGAATTTGTGTAAGAGATGCTTTGAATGGAATTTGTGTAAGAGATGCTTTGAATAGAACAAATCAACAAAATAACTGTGTTGTACCGGAAGTAAGTAATGTATTATTCATATTGCGTCTTCTTCTTCTTCTTCTGCCTTTCTATCCCCCAATGGAACATAGGCCCTCAACCAACTCATGCCAAGTCGTTCTATCCTTTGCCATTGCATGGAGCTCTCCCCATGTCATCCCCATCTTTCTAACTTCATTCTCCATGTGTTTTTTGGCCTTCCTTTATTCCTTTGCCCCTGTGGGTTCCAATGCAAAGACATTCTAGTTATGCTGTTCTCCTGTTTTTTCAGTGTGTGTCCTATCCAAGGCCAGCGTCTTTTTCTCACCTCTTGGTCCACTGGAGCCTGTTTAGTTCTCTCCCAAAGTTCTACATTAGATCCTGTAAAAACCATAGCCACACAAACCAACCAACCATGGATTCATATTGTGTATATGATCGTAAAGCATACACATACTCATCTATTTAATATTAAACAAGACAACTGTACTAATAATACAGCCTTAATACAAATGATTTTTGGCTGCTGAAGTTGAGGACAGAGCACCTGTGGGAATCTCCTGAGTACTGTGTTGTCTTTTCTTGACTCAACTCATCATAATAATACTGCTGTGACCTTTACTGGGGGATTGAACCTGGACAACTGTGTTGGCAGTCTAGCACACTAACTACTCAGCCACTTGGACTCATTGATATATGAACGTCACATTTTTCATTTGAGAGCGCTTTTATCTCAGCCCAGATAAGGGAAGTGATAAAGTAATGCATTACATTAGACCTCTAATGGGGCAACCTGTCCTAACAGTGGGTTACGGTGTTTACGACAGATTATGATAACCTCTTTATGATAGTTAAAGGTAGATAACTAGGTTATCTTGCCTGATGAGATGCTTGAGAAAAGCCACCATCCTAACCTCCTAACCATCTGAGAACAAGTGAATAATGCTACTATCAGGAAGATTGTGGAAACAGAACCTTATACTAGATTCATCGAGAAACAGCAGATCAAGTGGTTTGGCCATCTTGTTAGAATGCAGCAATATTGAGTACCATCAAAGGCACTAAATATCAGAAGATTGGCTACGAGAGTAAGAGGATGGCCACGAAAAAAGATGGCAAAACAACATTAAAGATACTCTTTTTTGCCTTCACAGTATGACAATAGGCAGTCCCAGCCAGCTTGAAGTGGATCATAAATTATTCCTCTCCACCACACATAACGACAGAAGTGGTTTATGATGATGATGATGAACTAGGTTATCTGAGCATACATCCACTGTACTCTTCTGCCACAGCTGGTACCTGAAGTTTGGTCATCATATTGACTCAGTGAGCCAACTTTCAAATGTTAAACTTCCCCATGCGGGTTCCAGCATGCCATTTTTATAGAGAAAAAAATAAATAGACTCGTGAACTCCATCAGTCCTAAGCAATGTATCATGTGTGATTCCAGTCAAAGTCATATTTTGTCTAGCTTTTGTCTTTTGGTCCATGAAGACATCCAAACATAAATATGAGCGCCAAGAAACTGACAATAAACAGTAGTAGTAATTTTTCAGACATATCCTTCTCAGTCCTCAGGGTTATAATTGCGATAAGCAGTGTTCATTGAGTTCTCATAGTATATATTTGTTATTTTTAACTGATTTATCTTGTAATTATTTTTGTGACTAAAATTCAAATTGTTTCACATTTTGCTTTGATTTGGGATGTGATTGTGATATAAATTGCACTGTGAATAATTAGACAATCTTACTATTGCTTTGATTTGGGATATGATTGTGATATAAATTGCACAGTGTATAATTAGACAGTCTTACTATTGCTTTGATTTAGGAATTGATTGTGATAGAAACTGCACTGTGAATAATTAGACAATCTTATAACATTGTGTCATTAACATGGTGGATATATTGTTTCCTTAGTCTGCAATCATTAATTATTCTCCTCGATTTTAATCATAGGGGAAACTTCTTCAGGGATGCCATGGGCATTCTTTGTCTTTTATATATACACAGCATAATCATACCAACACTGTGCTACTAGTGCCAGACTTTTACATTATCAGAGGTTAAACTCCGTAAAATTAACACCTGTAAAGTGAAATGCCTGAGAAAAGCCACCTACTAAACCATCTGAGACAAAGTTAGAAATGATATTATCATACAGACTGCAGGAACAGCATCAAGCAGCCTTCATTGAGAAACAGATCAGTTGATTTAGTCATCTAGTAAGAATGTAGCCAGAACAACTACCAACGCAAGTGCTACATACAGTTGACAAGAAGTCCCCTGTGTGGGTTCTGGGGCCCCATTGTGGGGAAAACAAGAATAGACCCACTGCCTCCCCAAAAGCATGTTGTAAGAGTCAACTAATTGGGGAGCTTCCTTTGAAGATGGAGTGCGTCTGCCGGAGAGGCAAGGAACCAACAGTCTGTATTCAAGAGAATGAGATCTGTAAAACTGATGCACATGCAACACTCAGGTTCTGGAGCAGGACTGCAGTTCAGTAGTAGACGAGCAACCAGAACCTTCCGCCAGAGTTTACAGCTGGTGAACGCGAAGAAGAAGAAGAAGAAGTTGACAAGATCCGATGTGAAAGAAAGAGGTCGCCCTAGGAGAATATAGATTGAGAACATTAAAGAGCTTCTACATCAACGTGGAATGACAGTAGCCATTGCTGTCTATCAAACAGTGGATCGCAAACTGTTCCTCCCCATAGTGCTAAGTGGTAGAAGTGGAAAGCTGAAGTCATGTGTCATGGGTTGAAAGGCATAGATATTGCATCATGAAAGCTAAAATCATGTGTCATGGGCTCAGAGGCATTGATTTTGCAGCCTAACTGTAAACCACAATGTGCTAACAACTCTTTTGGGGAAGAAATATATAAAATGTTGTTCTAGTGGAAATAAATTACATATATTGCCTCTCCAAATTTATTTGTGAGGGGGCTTCAAATGTAAACCTCAAAAGTTTGATAGAGATGACAGTAACTAGGCCATTGTCCTAGGAACTGTGAAGAGCTTACCAGGAAATGAAACGAAGGATGAACTTGCTGAGAATGGAGAAGAATGTGAACAAGAAGACTATACAGTAACGTACTTTGAGGGGGAAAAATTAACTAAAGCCATCCAGTCTATTAGAAGTCAGCAGAACTGGGCCTATGATGGCTGCTTGACTGGCATGGACAGGTCATCATTCTACACGTCACTTTAACTTGGACTTCTAGTAATTCCCCCTGGTCACTGGGTAGTGAGATCGGATGCCCGTGTGCATTGTTGCGCGTGTAAACAAAAATCCCCTGGCAGTTGGAAATCGAAAAGAGTAGCCTAATGGTGTTAAAAATCTACCCAAAGTATTTCAGGATCCTCGCTGGTGCTACAGATTCTGTGCACTGTGCTGAGCTTCTTCGGACTCAGACTTGAGTTAAAAAGAAGAACAGAGATCCATTGTTCAAAACCACCTCAGGACAAGTCATAACAAACTTATGCACAGGCTTCGTTTAAGCAGTCCACCACTGTGCCTGTGTAGGCTGTATGTAGAAACCGCAGACCATGTCCTGCAAGGCTGTCCTTTCTACAGCCCTTAGGAAGGGAGTACTGGCACAATAAGTCAACACTATATTCAAAGTTGTATGGAGCTGAAGAAGAACTCTAAAACAAAGTCAATTTTATCCATCAGTGTAAAACAAGCAAGCTCCTGCAAGAATAACAAGAAGAAGAAGTAGGCCTCCACATATACCTTGTACATCCCATTAGGAAGTGTGTACTGGCCCAATGAGTTGACACTATACTCAAAGTTGTATGGAGGGGAAGAACTCTAAAAATAGTCAGTTTTTTCACAATAACTCATCCGTCAGTGTAAAACATGCAAGCATCTGCAAGTATAACAAGAAAAAGAAGTAGGCCTCCACATATTCTAGGCCACAGAATACAAGCTGAAGTAGCCTGTCCCTTCCACATCCCATGTAATTTCCCAGGGTATTCTAAATATTATGTGGAACTAATTTTTATGAAGCTTGGGTGACCCTAGAGCGGTTTTTAAAAAAAAAAGAAAGAAATCTAGACTTTTAACCCAGGTGGTGTATCGAGCATATAATTCTAGCATTTTTATAGACCTATCAGTACTCATTGGGGGATATGGTAAATATTTCCTGCATGACCCAGGGCTACCAATGCTGGGTTTTCCCCCCAGATCTGGGTTTTTATATGATGCCTTGGGGAAATCTTGTTTAAAAAAAAATATATTGTTATATAAAAGTGGTAAATGTTTCATTTTGTAACTATAAATTGTGCACATTTTAACAATCTGGTTTTTTAAAATTTTGTTTGTTATTCTTTGCTTATGCATTGCTTGGGTTTTTGTTCAGCTTAGCTGGGTTAAAAAAAAAATCTAATTGGCAGCCCTGTGAATGGCGCCTTCGGTGGCTGCAATTGATTCTGGGAAATCAAGATGGCTGATGTGAATATTTGCGATTTGACTATAAAGTGACTTTTTATTTTTTGCAGTCATGCCAGCACCCGCAGCACGAATGCCTGGCATCATGCAGCGAAGGATTTCTGGTGCCGTCCATCAGGGCACAGGGAGGCTGCATGTGATACAGGATGGAGAAGTTGATGAAAGTACCACATTGCTTCCATCTTATGCTGATGTGGAGAGAAAGCACAAACAGGCAACTGGTAAGTTCATAATACATTTTGTTTATTTTCAGTGTTGGTGGTTCATTTCTTAAATACATTTTGTTTATTTGCAGTGTTGGTTGTTCATTTCATAGTATATTTTGTTCATTTGCAGTGTTGGTGACTCATTTCATACTACATTTTTTTCATTTGCAGTGTTGGTGTTTAATTTCATAATACATTTTGTTCATTTCCTGTTGGTTGTTCATTTCATAAAAATTTTGTTCATTTGCAGTGTTGGTTGTTCATTTCATAATACATTTAGTTCATGTGCAGTGTTTGTGGTTCATTTCTATTGCATGTTTATCGGTGTTGAAGTTGAGGGGATTAACTTCATTGCACCAGGTTTTATTTCCTATGGCTTTGTCTCCTTCAGCAGAACAGATAGCCATCCTTCTGTTCATAAAAAAAGTCTACCATGTTTAATGAATACAGTCTTCTTTTCATAAAGTCCATGCCGTGTGACTTTGGTAGTCATGTGTATCCACAACCTTCTGTCTCATGTAGAATGTTGAATTAGGAATAAACATCACAGCACTTGGGACACCCCTATTAGTGCTCAGTCCCCATCTTCAGCATCAAAGCGAAGAGTTTCAATTCCAGTGGCACCAGTAATTGTCTGATTGTATGTGCATCTCGCCTTTCCTCTGAGTGTTGAGCGCCGGCCAGATCCCCTGGTAACTCCTTGCAGCGCTCAACCCCCCAGACCATAATGATCTATCTGTGCCTCCACACTGTTCACTCACTCCCAAAGTGCCCTCACAACATCTAGCTTGTCATACATCAGTTCACCACCAAGCAGTGCAGAACCGGCCAGTCTATCCACCTGCTAATTTCCCAACACACCGGCATTACCATCATTTAAAAGGTCCCAGGTAGTTAGCATCCTTTGGATTTTTTCTCCAGGTCATGCTGGTGTGTTTGGGAAATTAGGAGGCAGATGGGCTGGCCTGTTCTACACCCCTTCATGGTGAACTGATGTATGACAAGCTGGATGTTGTGAGGGCCCTTTGGGAGCAAGTGAACAGTGCCGAGGCACAGATAGATCATTACGGTCTGAGGAGAATAGCGCAGTGAGGAGTTACAAGGGGATCTGGCTGATGCTTAACACTCAGGGGTAGGATAAGACGGACAATCAGACAGTTACTGGTACCATCGGAATTTCAACTCTTCACTTGCTGCTGAAGATGGGGACGGAGCACTCATTGAGGTGTTCCGAGTGCTGTTATGTCGATTCCTAATTCAACATTGAACGTATAACTCTAGCAACATTCCTTAGGTGTCTCCGTAAAAAAAATTACACTAGTGATTTAAATAAGACAGTCGGTGAAACAAAATCCATGGAGGAGGGAACCAGGGATGCAGAAGTGTTGACTCACATATAGCAGTGCACCAGAGCCAGGGATTATAATGGACACTGGGAATATAGCATTAATTTTGTCCATAAAACTTCAGGCAAAAATGGAGGAAAGTATTGGTAGAATGTTAAGCGTCAAAGTTATTTTTGCTTCCGACAGCGCTTTGCAAATGCAGTTTCCACAAAAGGACGGTAGTCTACAGTTTCGCTGTCTGAGCTACTGAGTTTAGTGCTTGGTGCAGCACTGTAAGCTATGGAATGCTTTTCATTTGCGCAGCTGGTTTACGTGTGAGCTGGTGAAATTTCTACACGTGTGTATAGTAACCAACTTATCAGGACAGAATACTTCCATCAAAGACAAACTGCATTTCTGGTGGCAATTGATGGGTTTGCTGCCTCGAGCAACTGAAATACGCATTTACTGCATGCACATGTTTCTGGATTGTTCTGGAACTAGTTGTTTATTCACCAGTTTTTCATATGCCACAGTGAGGGACATTTCATTTGATTCGCTGTGGCACAGGAACGGAGCAAGTATGGGGAAACCCGACTGCACAGTGATGTTGAAACCTTGACTGACTAACTAACCAACTAACTATGTCCATGGAAAGTCTGCAGTCTAGACTGGCATCCACCCTTTCATTGTCGGCATGTCACCCTGTGTTACACTGTGTACATCCCATGCACTTTTACAGATTTGACCATGAAATATTTCTGTAGCTATCTTGATCATGTGACAGTTTGAAGTACAACAGCACTTCATTAACTATCTACAGCACTCCATTAACTATCTACTCCACTGAACTATTTTACACACATGATATTAACAACCTCCTAACTTTTATCAGGCGTGAATACGCATACTCTTAAACCCACTTGTATATATATTAGGAGCCAGTATTTGATTGCTGTTCAGTCAGCTTTTTCACTAATGAAAGAAGTTTATTTAGGCAGGAATGTAATTAAAAAATTAAAGCGCAATAATTAAGGAATTAATAAGAAGAGATAGGTATTTATTGTATGTTGTAGAGACAGGAGATATTCAAGGGATAGAAACGGTTGGATGCGTGCATTTTTAAAAAGAATAGTAAGACAGGGATATTCGTAAATAAGAGATGGTATATAATGCATTAAGCTCTGTCGAAAAGAATAATTGTAAAAAATATGTTCATTATTTAGAGATATTTGCCTTTTGTGCAGGGTATTTAAGAAAAAATAGATACAAATACACATCTGTCTCATAGATAATATCTCTCCTTTAAAGATGATGGCCGTTTGTTGCCTTAGATGGTCATGCATATATATATAAATGTGGATACAATTGAAAAATGGCCAATAGCTGGCTGCCTGCTGATGCTCTGAAATGTTATTTAGTTTCCAGCTAGGCTTTGCTGATGACAGTTACCCATTTATGGACTGGGAATCCAAAGTGTATGTCACTCAGCTGTTGAGTTTAGTGCTTGGTGTGGAACTGAATTGAGGATTTAATGTGGAATATTTTTTGTTCTGTAGTGCATGGGACATGTTGTTGACTGCACTAAAACTGGTGGGTGGCCATTACGTTCAGCATGGCATGTACTTTTGCAAATGCAATGCCAGCTTTTGTGGCTGACCCTTTACACCAACAGTGAGCTGCAGTTCTGGAGTCAGACCGTTAGTGTTGTTGGCATGTCTAACAGCTGCCTTATGCATTTTTACTTTGTATGTGCAAGCATAAAGTTTTTGCTAGGACTGACAAGTTTTTCATTTTTTCAAATGGGACAGTGAAGGACATTCTGTGTCTAATTACACAGGCACCATTAGTGTTGTCATGTTAACTGACAGCTGTCTTATTATGCATTTTTATTTTGCGTGTGCAAGCTTTAAGTTTTTGCAAGGACTGACAAGTTTTTCACGTTTTCACATGGGACAGTGAAGGAAATTTTTTTGATTTTTCACTGCATCATTAGTGTTACTGGCATAATTGACAGCCGCCTTGTTATGCATTTGTGCAAGCCTCAGGTTTATGCTGGTTTTTCTCATGTTTTCACATGGGACAGTGAAGGACATTTTGTGTGATTTGTCATTGTCACAGGAACAGTGCAGTTATGGGGCGACTATTGACTATTGTTTGCAGCCTTAATTGATTTGATTTGATTCAAGAACCAACATCACAGCACTCGGGGCATTCCCATAAGCGCTCCGTCCCCATCTTCAGCAGCCAGCGAAGAGTTCTGATACTAAGGGTGCCAGTAGCATTCTGATTAAACGTCCGTCTTGCCTTTCCTCAGAGCCTCGAGCTTCTGCCAGAACCTCTCGTCACTCCCAACTGCATCAATCTCACCAGACTGTGGTGATCCATCTGCTCCTCCACATTGTACACGCTCTCCCACAAGTCACTAACCATGTCTGCCCTATCATGTAGCAGTATTCCACCAAGTTGTGCAGAGCCAGCCAGTCTGTCCGCCTGTTCATTTCCCAACACACCAGCGTGACCCCTGTGAAAAAATATGCAGGACAGATATGCTGCCTTAGAGAAGAATAATACTTAATCTGTATGAACTGTTTTTATAAAATAATAGATTTTCAAATGTAGATGATGGCTATTTATTGCATGCATCCTTTGAGAATAATGATTAAAATATAGAATATAATCATTGATTGTATGAATAAGATACCGCGATCGAAACCTGCGTGGGCTGCGTGGATTTTTAATCCTGGTATGGGACGTCGCAGGTCGACCCAGCCTCAAATGGTTACCAGGATGGCTGTACTGGGGAAGTAGAGACGGCCGGCGTAATGCTGAGCACATTACCCACAGAGTGCCGATTGGTCTGTAAAATATGGGTGCTCTTCCCATATGCCCGATGCGCCTAAAGGCGTGAAAAGGGATCTTTACACTTACTTTTTTTTTAGATGGTTGATTTTGTAAAGAATAGAAAGTAAAAAAGGATACATATATAAGAGCTATAAGAAACACCAAAATGTTAAATTACAATACAAAGCGCAGTTCTTAAGCAAATCAACAAGTTCAGAGATTTGGGAACAATAATATCATCTGACAGAAGATGCGTGATAAAGATTGAGAGCAGGATATGCGAGGGAAAAGTGACTTTTTGAAAGATGAGGAAATAGTTTATGTAACAGGTCTCAAGAAAAAGAATTCTTGCTTGCTACATACATCCAGTTTTAACATATGGCTGTGAATCCTGCGAATCAGTAGGCAGACCGAACAATTTCTTGAGGCTTTTACAGAAGAATACTTAGAATACCTTGGACAGCCAAAAAGAGCAACCAAGAGGTTTTGAAAGATTCGGGAGCCCGAAGACAACTTATCACAGACATCAGAAGGAGACAGTCATCATGTTTCGGCCATGTTATGAGAAGAGTGAAAATATAACATGCTGTGACCACTGGAAAGATCTGTGGAAAGAGGGATAGAGGAAGACAACGAAAGAAGATGCTTGACAGTCTTGTTGCATGGCATGGAGGTGTGTCGGCACACGAACTGATACATGCTGCAGGAGATCACAGATTATGGAGAGGCATGATCGGCCACGCCAGTCGGCAAAGCACCTGATGATGATGAAGAGTACTGAAGTGTTATGTTGAAACAGTACTGCTGTTATGTTGAACCAGTGCTGCTGTTATGTTGAACCAGAGCTGCTGTTATGTTGAACCAGTGCTGCTGTTATGTTGAACCAGAGCTGCTGTTATGTTGAACCAGTGCTGGTGTTATGTTGAACCAGTACTGCTGTTATGTTGAACCAGAGCTGCTGTTATGTTGAACCAGAGCTGGTGTTATATTGAACCAGTGCTGCTGTTATGTTGAATCAGTGATGCTGTTATGTTGAACCAGAGCTGCTGTTATGTTGAACCAGTGCTGATGTTATGTTGAACCAGAGCTGCTGTTATGTTGAACCAGTACTGGTGTTATGTTGAACCACTGCTGCTGTTATGTTGAACCAGAGCTGCTGTTATGTTGAACCGGAGCTGCTGTTATGTTGAACCGGAGCTGCTGTTATGTTGAACCAGAGCTGCTGTTATGTTGAACTACTGCTGCTGTTATGTTGAACCAGAGCTGCTGTTGTGTTGAACCAGAGCTGCTGTTATGTTGAACCAGAGCTGCTGTTGTGTTGAACCAGAGCTGCTGTTATGTTGAACCAGAGCTGCTGTTATGTTGAACTACTGCTGCTGTTATGTTGAACCAGAGCTGCTGTTGTGTTGAACCAGAGCTGCTGTTATGTTGAACCAGAGCTGCTGTTGTGTTGAACCAGAGCTGCTGTTATGTTGAACCAGAGCTGCTGTTATGTTGAACCAGTGCTGCTGTTATGTTGAACCAGTGCTGCTGTTATGTTGAACCAGTGCTGCTGTATGGCTACGAATCTTGGAATGTGACTTGACAAACTAAAAAGAACTTGGAAACTGTGGAAATATAGTTTCTGAGACGCATGCTGTATATACCATGGATAGGCAGACAATAACAACCTGGAAATGGCTAATGAAATTATAAAACTATATACAACTATAACAAAGAGACAGACAGTGTTCTTTGGTCATGTGGTTCGAAGAGAAGCATTGGAGAACATTGTGATGGCTGGAAATGTCAATAGAAGTAGAGGCAGAGGCAGACCAAGAGAGGTGATACTTGGTGGCCTGCAGTTGTGGCTTGAAGGAATATCATCAGTGGAGTTGATTCAAAATGTCAAGGACTGAGATCTGGGAATGACATCTACTTCTTTTTCACATTTACTGGCTGTAAACTCTGGTAGAAAGTTCTGGTTGTTTGTCCATCTCTGGACCGTAGTCTTATTCTGTACCTGAGTGTTGCATGCACATCTGTTTTACAGATCCAACTTATTTAGATACACTCCCACTTCAAAGGAAGCCCCCAATTAGGACATGCTTTTGGGTAGGCAGTGGGTCTGTTTTTGTTTTCCCCACGACGGGGCCCAGGAACCCACGCGGCGATGGAATGACATGAGTGCATATGCCGCTGGGCATGGCACATGATGATGATGAGAGTTATATGCTTTGCGAATAATACAACATTTATTTATGTAGAATAATAACAAGAAACTTAATAAGCACACACTTATAGAGGAATTGCTTTTTATTTGAAAAATAAGAAACGTGTTTATATGTTGTGAGAATAAAAACTGAGAAATTTGTTTGAAACAGGATAGAATCATCTGTAGGGGGAATAGTAACTAAGAACATTGTAAATATATAAGAATATCCTCTGCTGTTCTAACACACAACGAATCATCATGTTTAAAAGACTCGAGGAAGAAGATGAAGTTAAGGCGAATTCTGAACTCAAAATTAATGAACGACCTCGGCCAGGTAAGCATATGTTTAGAACTATACGGAGAAATATTCTTCGACCCAAAAACACTTTGTATGGGTTGTCAAGGTTATGAGAGGGAGATTGATAATCAGTGTCTTCAGTTGCTTCGTAAATTTTATTGAGATATCATGGGGAAAATGTATATTCAGTGCCTTCCATAATTCTCTATCTTGTTTTGAGTCTCTTTAGTGGTTCCCTGTCTTTTATTGAGCTGTCATGGGGTAAATTTATGTAGTGTGCCTTCCACTGTTCCCTGTCTGTTATTGAGATGTCATTAGGGAAATGTATATTGAGTGCCTTCCACTGTTCCCTGTCTTTTATTGAGATGTCATGGGGAAAATTTATGTAGTGTGCCTTCCACTGTTCCCTGTCTTTTATTGAGATGTCATTGGGGAAATGCATATTGAGTGCCTTCCACTGTTCCCTGTCTTTTATTGAGATGTCATGGGGGAAATTTATGTAGTGTGCCTTCCACTGTTCCCTGTCTTTTATTGAGATGTCATTAGGGAAATGTATATTGAGTGCCTTCCATTGTTCCCTATGTGTGACTGAGATGTCATGACATTTATTTTGAATTTCCTGCATTATCCTAGCCTGATAGTCTAAAGTGTGAATAAAGGTCATAACTTTGACTTTAGCTACCATATGCCGATATGTCTCAGTTGTGAAAAAGGTCATAACTTTGACTTTACTTCTATGCTTCTTCTTCTTCTTCACGTTCACCGGCTGAAACTCCAGGGGAAACTTTTTGTTGTTTGTCCACTTCTGGACTGCAGTCCTGTTCCAGAACCTGAGTGTTGAGTGTGCATCCATTTGGCAGATCTGACTAATTTGTATGCAGACTATTGGTTCCTTGCCACTCAGGCAGATGGACTCCGACTTTGAAGGAAGCTCCCTATTAGTCGACTCTTCCGACATGCTTTTGGGTAGGCAGTGGGTCTATTCTTGTTTTCCCTATAATAGGGCCCCTGAACCCACACAGGGATTTCATATGCCTGATATATCTCAGGTGTGAAAAGGTTGAACATTTTAATTTACTGACCTATGCCTGATATTTCCCAGGCGTGAAAAAGGTCATAACTTTTGCTTTACTTACCAAATACCTGATCCATCTGGGATGTAAAAACATCATAACCTTTACTTCACTAATAGTAAAAACTGTGCAGTTCCTCCGAGTGTGTTGTAATTTCAGCATCTGTGAAGTGCAGCTGAGAAGCTGAGTTGAGTTGAGTTAGGAATTGACATCACAGCACTCGGGGCATTCCCATGCATGCTCCGTTCTCTTCTTCAGCAGCCAGCGCAGAGTTCCAATACTGATGGTACCTGTCACAATCTGGTTATATGTCCGTCTTGCGTTTCCTCTGAGTGTAGTGAGCCGGCATAGCCTGGTGAAAATATCCAATGTATGCTTACTACCCGTGACCTTCCCAGTGAAGCTTGCCACTCTGCTCGAAGCATCCCTGTCTTAACCTTTCTCAGCATGCTTTCAGAGTCAGTTACAATTATGACGTATGTATGCATCTTGTTCTCTAGCCACCGGAGAGCTGCAGTTACCGCCTCCACCTCCATTCTAATGCTAGATGTTGTGGTGTCATATCAGGGCAGCTGATAGGTACCTTCCTAATCCTTGTCTCAAGTTTCAGTCTACAAATACTGTAGAAGTTGCCATCAAACTGGATCAAACTACCACCCTCCTGATTTAAAAAGATTTTTTTTTTAAACAGAAGGGAGAAGTGAATACCTTGGACTGACAGAATAACTAACAATGATTGCCTGAAAATGGCTAATGAAAGTAGAACATTATATACAACAATGAGAAAGAGACAAACAAAGTTCTTTGGTCATGTGATGAGAAGAGGAGCCCTGGAAAATATCGCGACGACTGGAAAGATCACTGGTAGAAGTTGCAGAGGCAGACCAAGAGAAATGATCATGGATGGTTTTAGACAGTGGCATAGAGGAATATCATCAGTGGAATTGATCCAGAACCCAGTGATCTGTGAAGATGCATGAATGCCTACGCCAGCTGGCAGGGCACTTGATAATGATGATGATGCTAAGTATATTCAAAGACGATATTTTTCTAATATGACCTACACTTTGTTGTTCCTCTAGGGTCACAGTGTTTTGAGGCCCGCCACATGCTGGCTGTAATGGCCTTCTTGGGATTTTTCAATGTCTACTGCTTACGGGTGAACCTCAGCGTGGCTTTGGTGGCCATGGTCAACGTTACACACAAGGACAGTTCCAATGTCAGTGTCAGTACTGAGTGTCCAGATTCCGACACTGGGAATTCATCTTCACGTGTTTCTGTGAGTTGTTTCTTTTCAGGGTTTTAGCTTCCTGTGCTTTGTTAATATGTATTTTTTCCTCCGGGCTGCTCCCTTACGTTTGATAATTCCAGCAACTCTAAGAGCCACAATCTGAATGACAGCCTATCACTGCCCAACCCAGATACCATGTTCAGTATTCAGAGAAGTTCTTCCAGCGGAAAGTTCTAGAAACTTGAGTTTTGCATGCACACCATGTTTACAGATCTGGCTTATTTGTATGGAGACTGTTGATTCCTCACCTCTCAGGCATATGCACTCAGACTTCAAAGGAAACACCCCTAACTATTTGCCGCCAACATTATGCTTGTTAAGAAGACAGTGGGCCTATTCTTTGTTCTCTAGAACGAAGCCCTGAAACCCACATGGAGAAGAGGGGTTGTAATTATAGCTTTTAAAATAATCCCTCCTGATAGGTTTTCACCGTGAAGTGGCACCGGGGCTTGTGTGTTTCAGTGACCCTAAGTTGAGTTGAGTTGGGTCAAGAATTGACATCACAGCACTCGGGGCATTCCCATGTGTGCTCTGTCCTCATCATCAGCAGCAGGGGCAGAGTTCCTAAACTGATGATACCGGTCACAATCTGGTTATATGTCAGTCTTGCCTTTCCTCTGAGTGTAGTGAGCCAGCCAGACCACCCGGCTACACCCAGATGCCTCATTCTCTCCAGGCCATAATAATCTTGTTTCTCTACTAATTCCGTTGCTTGTTCCTATATTGTTCCTTTGTCATGTATCAATTCACCACCTAGTGGTGCAGATCCAGCCAATCTGTCTGCCTGTTTATTACCCAATATGCCAGCACAGCCTGGAGAAAAGATTCAGTGACCCTAAATAGTGATAGTATTGTCAACTTGGGAATCCTTTCTCAGCTACTGAAAAAAGGTGATGCAACACATGTCGGTTTGCCAATGTCTTCTTCTTCTTCTTCGCATTCACCAGCTGTAAACTCTGGCGGAAAATTCTGGTTGTTCATTCAATTCTTGACTGCAGTCCTGTTCCTGAACCTGAGTTTTGCGTGTTCATCCTTTTTACAGATCTTACTTATTTGTATGCAGACTGCTGGTTCCTTGCCTCTCAGGCAGATGGACTCCGACTGTGAAGGAAGCTCCCAATTAGTCAACTCTTACAACATAATTTTGGGAAGGCAGTGGGTCTATCCTTGTTTTCCCTATAACAGGGCCCACGTGTAGTGATGTCAATTCTTGATTCATGCAGTCACTTGTTGATTCCTTTTTTGCCATGCATTTGTAAAATATTTTTATCTGAACTCTCAAGTATAATGAATTTAACTGGAATTTGATAGATTGTTGCATGGAGTAGCCATCATATTTAATCTGAATATGGGACATTCCAAGCAAGTCAGTTTAACACCGCATCACCTAAAACATTTAATATTATTATAGAATTTAGTTTTATTACTTCCCCATTTGGGTCCCAGAGACCCATTTTGGAGGGGACAAAATACACCCACTTCTCTGAACAACAAGCATGGTGCACAATGCGACTAATTGGAGGCTTTTCCTTGTAAGAAGGAGTGCATTGAACAGCGAGGAAACAACAGAGTGCATAGAAAGCAGCCAGATCTGTACAATGGATGTACAAGCAAAACTCAAGTTCTGGAGCAGGGCCAAAGTCTACAAGTGGACGAACAACCAAAACTTTCCCCTTCAGTTTTCACCTAGTGAACGCTAAGAAGAAGAAAATAAAGAAGAAGAAGATATTTATTATTATTAGTAGTAGTAATAATAATTAAGGAACTGACACATTGTAAGATTAGGTTTAGGTTTAAACAATGGATCAACATTATGGCGCAAGGGTAGTAACCCATATCTGCTTTGTACTACTTCTAACTCAAACCTGAGTCCAAAGAATTTCTGCGCACTGCATGAACCTCGTAGCACCGGCGAGGATCCGGAAATACTTTGGGTAGATTTTCAACTCCAAGTTTTGCTCAGAGAGCGCGGTTAGGCTACTCTTTTTGATTTCCAACTTCCAAGGTGTTTTTTTTACGTGTGCAGCAATACACACGTCATCCGATTTTACTACCCAGAGACCAGGGAAAATTACTAGAAGTCTGCGTTAACAATTCCAGCCTTCACCGGTGTTTGAACCCGGGACCTCCAGCATTTGAGGCAGACACCATGCCTTGAAACCACTCAGCTCCCTCACATTGTAAGAACAGGAAAATAAATAGGCCTATAGATTGTATAAACTATAATAATGAATACATTAAAAAAAAAAAATCTCAGATGTCTCACACAATATTTTGGCCCTGTCCTGATATAAAATCTTCCATGTTTCTAGAAGTTCTTATCAGAAGAACCAATCTTTTTGAGAAGAAATTTATTCTTTATCAGTCGTTCATAAAAGTCCCCATAACTTTCTTTAAAGTACACTCTTACCTACAGGATAGAATTCATTGTTGAGACACTCGAGCAGGATTTCTAACTTGTCTACACGCTGTTCGTTATGAGGGGAACCCACATACGCTCATTTCCATGGCTTTCAGAAGGATGTAGTACTTAGAAATTACAATAATCAATAACCTTGCTGTTGTCGTGTATCCTGTCAGTTTTATTTTGTTAAGAATGTCAAGAGTGTTAAGCATGTGACATCACAATGTAGGCGAACATGGTGATTTTTAATTACAGTTAAAAATGGCCAACCCTCTTTTGACATGCACCAAAGAGTAGCAGTAATTACTTTTTAAAATAAAAAAAAAGTAAAAAAATTAGTCACAGATGTGACAGAAGAGTTTCACGGCTAGATCCGGCACACTGACCATGTGCAGTCTCTCACAGATGTCATGTCATTTTGAAAACTTCCTGCTCCACTCATTCACTTTGCTGGACTGACAGGCATGCGTCGCCATACTAGACCTTTATTCGCCAATGAGTTTCATTAAGTTTTATCCTTTCACTGATTCAGAAATGGACCAAGCTGTGGCACATAAAATTCTCTTGTGAAACCACAGGTAGGATTTCATTGTCCCCTTGTGAGTTCTGAGCACCATTTTTTGGGCAGAAAAAGAATAGACCCACTGCCTCCCCCACCCCCACCCCATAACAAGTATGTCATAAAGGGTGACTGCCTTGAGGTTTGCTGAAGTCAGATGTGCTGGGTTGAAAGATGTATATGTAGCAGCCTAGCTGTAAACCGCAACACAACATTCTGATCAATCTTTTAAGGTGAATGCCGAAGAAGATTAATTCATTATTGCAGAATTATACCTATAATTTTTTGTTACCATTTTCCATGAACTGCCGAGAGAGGACAGTTGAACTGATATTCGGTTATTCGTTGTCAAAAAATTATATTCAAAATGGAATTTTAACATTTCCTCTTAAATTTTCTGACAGAAGAATTGGTGTTAATTAATTGACCATGTTGTGTGGAGGGGGCTCATCAGGAAGGAAACGAGAGTGAAGGAAGAAACCAAGGAAGAAATGACTGCAGAAAATACGAGAGTGGAGCGTTTGAGAAGAAACAGACTAAACACAAATTTTGATAGAAACGGTCCTGGAATCCCGTGCTTGAATTGTGGAAGACTTTTCCTTGTCGTGGAACAGGTTCCTTTTACACACACTAAAGTGGTGTTATCTTGTTAGAAACCGAGACAACTGTCTTTTGGTGCAAAGAGCAGACAGTGTCCCTGGATACTCAGATACAGACTCGAATTGGCTCGCTAAAGAAAGTGAGCTGCCTGAATATCCCCAGAAAAGGGATAAGGGAATTTAGATGCCTAAACACTTAGACAGAGCAGATTACCCCTCCCGACGATTTCCCTTTCTGGTCATTAAATTAAGCCCCCATCTAGACTATGGATATTGGTAGACAGCACTGACACCATACATACATCTAGAAATAGAAATAAACTTTAACTATGAGTTTAAATCAATCATAGGAATGTTTATTAAAATTAAAGTAAAATTTCAATCATCTATTTACTTTTGAAAATACAATATTCAAACTAAGTAGGATGAAAGATAAAAATGATAGTAACATGAAACTGTCGTCGTGAGAGGATCAGTGGGAAATAACATACAACAATTACCACCTGGAGTTTCCCAGAGGATCATCCATTTCAAAGACTGAGGTGGAATGTTGGATCTGTCTCAAGCACCAAGATCTTCCTTAGGGAACTTCAATCATTAGCTACGACCAGCCTGGCAGTGGTTTGGAAGCTCGTCCTGCCACAAGGAACAAGGAATCTGTCCTCGGCTTTTCAGCAACTAGGGATGGAAACAATCAACAAAATATATAGTCCCTACTGTTTTGCAATGTAAAATATATGCACAACTCTCCCCTCTCTCTTCATATTGTCAGAAGTGGGATAATAGTCTAGTAGCATTGTCATTTACATAGCTTCCACTTCTGACTACTGTCCAGTCCAGATGAATGTCTTCCATCTTCTGTCCTTCAGGATGATAGTGTAATACCACTCATTTACACAGACTCGGACAGCAATATGCAGTTATAAATGCAACACAAAATCAGACAGAATGCTATAGAATTCTCTCTATAAATATTTGAGAATTCTAGATAAAGGGGCTTGCCTTTCCTTCTTCCAGATTTTCCACTGGGTGTTTATTTTCTGGTTGTATCCTGCTTTTGTGATGCTAAGAAAAACAGTTTTCCAGTGGGTAGTTTTCTTGGACAGCATGTCCTCAAAATCACAGCATTTAATACTGCTGTGTATAAGTAAAATAATACATTAATAACATCATGAATAATACATCAATAACCTGAAAACAAAATTCAGCACTTCTACAACAAGCAAACATTATGAATTATAGAAGTATGAGCATGAGAAGAACAATGTCTCCTATGAAATGTTACCATTGAAATGTTACCATTATCTACACAAACTCTCATAACCAGCCATAGATCATTCATCTACCAGCAATAGAAGATAGATAATTTCCTAAGAGTCTGAGAAACAGCAAACAGAAGTAACCTCCTAGATACCGAACAATAGGAATCAGGAATAGATCATAAAGAAATGGTTTCCTGCCCATGTGCAAAACTGGGTCAGCGTGGTTTTTCCTCGGACTGGTACAATTCTAATATTGTACACGAAATGCGGCCCGAAAACTGAAATCACGATTTAATTAACAGTTACTGTGCTCACCTGGATTTAGATGTAACTATATGGTCATGCTGCTAGGGTTTTTAGGCGGCGGGAAAGACAAAGTTCTGCCAAAACGGCCCGCTCTGACTCCGGCTAGCTGCCCTGAAGTAAAAAATGGCTGGCCGTCTGCTCTCACAGCGGGATCCGGTGTTTGGCCAGGATTTTTCCGCTACGTTGCCGAGTTACTAGCCGTATATTTTTATACGTGAAAGCTCAGGGGAATTACAAATAAGACAATGGAAAATCCCCAAACAGCAACCGTAGGCTATAACCGGGATATCTCTCAATGCGTCTTATGACGAAAATGAAGTCACTAGGCGCATGTAAGAGAGAAAAATAGAAGGGTCACAAAGGGGTGGTACGTCAGCCAAAAGTATCTTGTCTACTTGAAGCGGCGTCTCGCGACATTCCTAATGTGTTTGGGTCTTGCTAGTCACACTCGCCATCGCCGTGGGCTGTGAGTTCTATGCCTCCTGATAGCACTATATAACACTATTGTCTGGCACCCGTGTGGGTTCTGGGATCCTATTATAGGGAAAACAAGAATAGATCCACCTGCCTACCTAAAAGCATGTTGTAAGAGTCGATTAATTGGGGAGCTTCCTTCAAAGTGGGAGGGCATCTGCCGGAGTGGCAAGGAACCAACAGTCTGCACACAAATGTGTCAGATCTGTCAAACGGATGCACACACAACACTCAGGTTCAGGAACAGGACTGCAGTCTAGAAGTGGGCGAACAACCAGAACTTTCCGCCAGAGTTTACAGCTGGTGAACGCAAAGAAGAAGAAGAAGACTATCTTCTGGAAATATGGAAGGGTGCCAGTCGTCGTCAGTTCCTGCAGAATTAAATTTATAATTGAATTTTATCTTTTCTTTTCATGAACTGCCCAGACTGGAGAATTTAACTGGGATCAGCAGATGCAGGGCAACATCCTTGGGGCATTTTTCTATGGCTACATCGTGACTCAGCTGCCTGGAGGATGGCTGGCATCCAGGTTTGGTGGCAAGAGGTTGTTTGGCTATGGGGTTCTGTGCACATCGGTCCTGACTCTCGTAACACCAATAGCTGCCAGATATAGTGTCTATCTCCTGATTGCCGTACGTGTGTTGGAGGGAATTGGAGAAGTAAGTTGATATCATCGGTGTTTAATTCATGGAAAAAGTGAAAACAATTGGAAGCTAATTTGTGTGTGCATGAGTACGTGAGTCTCTCTCTCTTTCTCTCTCTCTCTCTTTCTCTCTCTCTCTCTTTCTCTCTCTTTATCTCTCTCTTTCTCTCTCTCTCTCTCACTCTTTCTCTCTCTCTCTCCATATTCTGTTTTGTGCTGCCAGGCATAGCAGGTGAACAAGTGATCGATTTTGAAGCTAGAACACGCTCGGTTGTCCGGAATGCTGTGATGCAGGGGATTTTCAAGGTATCAGTCACTCCTTCAATCCATATTCTTCTTGATCATCCCCTACCACTTAGTGCTTCTTCTTTGTATGCTCTTGTTGCTGCCATCAATGTATTCATTCTCATGAGATGGTCAAGCCATTGCAAAATTTGTTTTTTATTGAATTTTATTATAAGTATTGTTCCAGCTGAATAGAATAGGGGCTTTTGAGCTGAAATGCTGTAGAAAGATTCTCAGAATATCTTGGACAAAGAAGAAGAGAAATACTGACAGCTTGAAAGATCTGAACTTCAGGGAAGATTGGCTAATAAACAGCATCCTGTCTCAGAAGCTGAAATCCTTTGGTCATATCAAGCGCCACGGCGGATTCGAAAAAATAATAGCAGAAGGCATGGTACCAGGAAGGAGGGACAGGGGCCGACCAGCACGAAGATGGGCACAGGATATAAGTGACCTTGAGTATGAAAGTGTATGAGGCGGAAGAGCTGGCGTGAGACCGAGTTTCTTTCAGGCAGACTGCGATGAGAGTGACGTTTTGCAAAGGACCTGCTACATGATGATGATGATTGTTCCAGCAGTTCTTGTAATTATTCCTTTCTGACATAATCTCTTCTAGTTTTGTTTACAGTCTTTCTCAAACATCTCATTTTGAAGGTGGTCAGTTTTCTTTTATGTTCTTAAGTCAGTGTCTAAGTCTGACACTGATAGCACAAAGTTGGTATGAAGACTGCATTTATAATTTGTTTTATTAGGGACTCACCACGTTTTATTCCCAAAGAAAGCAGTGGGTGCTCAACAGCCAACCTTCATTGTGGAGATGACACACAATTTTTGTTTTTTAAATCATCATCATCAACAATCATCATCAGTCAGCAGGTGCTTTACAGAATGGTGCTCTCATCACGGCACAGCTGAAAGTCTCTTTCTGTAGCCAGTTCTCCAGCCCTATGTGCTTTCATAGCCAAAACATCTTCAGTATCTTGTATCCAACATTGCGGAGGTCTGCCTCTGCCTCATTTTCTGGTAGCTGTACCTACCATTACCAATCTTTGGAGGCCACCATGATGTTTAACATGGCTACAGTACCCAGCTGCTTGTAGGACAGGATGCTGTTTGTGAGCCAGTTCTCCTCAAAGCTGAGATCACACAGGATGTTGGTGTTTTTCTTCTTCTTCTTGGTTTATTTTTGTTCTAAGACTTTTTCTGTAGCATTTCAATTTACAAGCTCCCATTTTTTTTCTTAATGATTGAGTAAGGAGTGTTGGTACTTCTCTTAAAAGTCGCTCCATCTCATCGGCTGCAAGCTTTCATTGTAGTTCCCACAGGCTGTCCTATGTTCTAGGGGTTTTATGAGATGTCTTCTTTCACCGTCTATACACAGTGTGCCGAAAAGGGGCTTGAGTGCATTCGTCGCAGACGACACGCTGTCTCCCAGGCAGAAAAGTGCAGCTTTCTTTTCACAGCTCTCTTTTCTGTGAATGAGTGTTGTTTCTGGAATGTGATGTTGTTGTCAGTAGGTCTCAGTCATCGAAGGCGCCTGTGTGCAAGTAAGAAGTACTACTTCCTCCTCATTCTTCTCTTCTTACTGTATTTAGCTGTAAATGTTTCTATTTCTCTACTAACAAATGTGTACATCTTTATCATTAAAAAATAAAAATAAATAGAACTAACCAGCTTTACAAAGTCAAAATAACATAATAACATAATGAATGTTGCTGCTAAAAAGCCTTCATCAGCATACAACACAAAAGGTCAATAATATAGTTACAAACAAGAAATCATCAGGTAACCACAGTTCCAACTTCATAACAGGCGGGTCATCCCGTAGTTGCTCTGTCCCTCTGCCAACAAAAACTACACAGTCTTCAATCACTGTCTCTTGTGGACCAAAAAAAAAAGTGGCACAGACTGCAGTCCCAGCAAATCAGCAGCACACACACATTAAACGCATAAGGCAGCAGTCAGAAATGCCAGCATAAACATTCCAGTCTCTAGTTCATTGTGGATAGAAAGAGCAGTTTAGAAAAAATCAGTAATTGCACAGCAGTTAATCGTATAAGGCACACAGATTTGTAAACTCATCTTTCTACATCTTAATTTCGGCTACAGGGTGTCACTTTTCCTGCCATGCATGCCATGTGGGGCAGCTGGGCTCCAGTGTGGGAAAGGAGCAAGCTCGTGGCTTTTACTTATGCTGGTAAGTGGGTATAATATGCTCGCTGGTCTTGAATCATCAGACGAGCCCTTGAATGGGAAACATGTCATCATCGTCATCATTATCACGTGCCCTATTGACTGGCATAGGTGTTTATGCGTTTCCACAGATCTATGTCCCTTGTTGTCTGGATCAATTCCACCCATGATATCCCTCCATGCCACCATCGTCTCTGTTGAGTGCCTCTCTCTCTTTCTCTACCGTTGATTTACCTATTTGTTACAACATTCTCCATAGCCTTCTCCCTCATCACATGACCAAAGAACAGAGCCTGTCTTTTCCTTTTAGCTGTTTTTATTGACCTGCTTTTATTAGCTTCCTTCAAGCAATCCTCGTTAGTTACTCTGGCAGTCCAAGGGATTCTTAACATTTGTCTGAGAAACCACATCTCCGACGCCTCCAAGTTCTTTGGGAAACATGATTTGGGACATGAGGGCGTAGAAAAGAGACCCTAAGGTGAACATTGATGAGAGAGGAGCTGGACTGGATTCCATCTGTGATTCTGAAAGGTAGAACGGAATGGAAAAATAAACTGTCCCCAAAATGACAAATAACAGCATCACCTTAAGGATTCCTGGGCCCCATGTAGGGGGGTGGGGGGATGTATGAACCCAGCCTCCCTTACACACATGTCTTCCAAAATCTAAGCACATCTGCATGAGCAGCAAGGAACCAACAGTCTGCATACAAGTGAGCCAAATCTGTAAAATGAATGTGCACACAAACTCAAGTTCTGGAACAAGACTAAATGCCAGAAGTGGATGAACAACCAGAACTTTCCACTGGAGTTTACAGCCGGTGATCATGAAGAAGAAGAATCTGTAATGGAACAACAGAATGGTGATGATGATTTTCTTGATGTAATGTTACTTTTAACATGACACTCATGACACTTACACATGATACTTAAACATGATACTTACACATGAAACTTATACATGTCACACTTGACAGTGTCAAATTTACAGTGTCTTATCTGTATTATTTTTAATCTAAAGTGTTTACATTTTGATGTTTCAAACAAAAAATGGCTTCTAACATCATGCTTACATAATAGTGATTCATGTTATGACAAGTGTGAAATTTAAATAAACAGTTTTTTATCTGAGTTATGTTTATCCAAAGCGTTTTCACATTTTGATGTTGGAAACAAAATATGACTTCTAACATCACACTTACTTTAATATGTGATTTATGTTATGACATGTGGGAATAAAAAAAAACAATAGTGTTTTATCAGGTTTTAGGTTTAGGCGACGGATTAACATCAAGGCACAAGGGTAATAACACATAAGTGCTCCGTTCTACTTCTGACTTAAGACTGAGCCTGAAGATTCTCAGCACGAACTCTGCGGCACCGGCGAGGATCCTGCAAAACTTTGGGTAGATTTTAAACTCCAAATTTTGTCCGGTCAGTGCCATTAGGCTACTCTTTTTGATTTCCAACTGCCAAGGGATGTTTTACCTGCGCAACAATACACATGGGCATCCGATATTACTACCCAGAGACCAGGGGAAATTACTACAAGTCCGTGTGAAAAAATCCCAGCCTTCACCGGGGCTTGAACCCGGGACCTACAGCACTCAAGTGGGACGTCACAAAAAAGTTATATTTTGTCTAAAGTATTTTTTCATTTTATATATAAAAACATACATTTTGATATTTCCTATACAGGGGCCCAGCTAGGTACAGTGTTTTCATTGCCTATATCTGGGATACTTTGTGACAGCGACGTCGCTGGTGGATGGCCTTCTGTATTTTATGTATTTGGTGAGTTAAAGTTAAGGGAATCGACTTCATTGCACTGGGTTTTATTCCATATGGCTCAATCTCACTGCAGAATGGCTAGCCGCCAAGCTGAGAGCACCGTGCAGAGCACAAACACTATAGCTCTAGCAATGATCCCCATGGATCTCCATAAAAATTGCCCCCGTGAACTGAAGGATGCTGCCATGGAACGAACCCACGATCTTCAGAGCGTTAGGCAAATGGCTTGACCACTTCGCCACGGAGACCCCCAATTTGGTGAGTAATTTATTGTGTTCAAATAAAAAAAAATAAAAAAATATTTTGGTAACAATAGACTGTGATGCCCCTCTGATGTGTCTCCACCTTGCTGTGGTAGAGGAGCTTGCGCAGTGACCCTAAGAGCTATACATTAGTCTGTCAATGTTTCATAAATGACTTTATCTCCCAGGTTGACCAATCTTATAATGGGTACCAGGCAGTGTCTTGGGAAGTAGAGGTGGCTGGCGTAATGTTGACCACATCATCCATCAAGTACCATGTGGTCTACAAAAATATCATATGCTTGATGAACTGGATGACAAGGGCCCTTTGCTTTTAGTTACTTTACTTAGTTTTCCTGTGGTTTAAAAGCTTTACAGTACTTTACTTAGTTTTCCTGTGGTTTAAAAGCTTTACAGTACTTTACTTAGTTTCCCTGTGGTTTAAAAGCTTTACAGTACTTTACTTAGTTTTCCTGTGGTTTAAAAGCTTTACAGTACTTTACTTAGTTTTCCTGTGGTTTAAAAGCTTTACAGTACTTTACTTAGTTTTCCTGTGGTTTAAAAGCTTTACAGTACTTTACTTAGTTTCCTTGTGGTTTATAAGCTTTACAGTACTTTACTTAGTTTCCCTATGGTTTAAAAGCTTTACAGTACTTTACTTAGTTTTCCTGTGGTTTAAAAGCTTTACAGTACTTTACTTAGTCTGCCTGTGGTTCAAAAGCTTTACAGTACTTTACTTAGTCTGCCTATGGTTCAAAAGCTTTACAGTACTTTACTTAGTCTGCCTATGGTTCAAAAGCTTTACAGTACTTTACTTAGTCTGCCTGTGGTTCAAAAGCTTTACAGTACTTTTCTTAGTCTGCCTGTAGTTCAAAAGCTTTACAGTACTTTACTTAGTCTGCCTGTAGTTCAAAAGCTTTACAGTACTTTACTTAGTCTGCCTATGGTGCAAAAGCTTTACGATACGTTACTTAGTCTGCCCATAGTTCAAAAGCTTTACAGCACTTTACTTAGTCTGCCTATGGTTCAAAAGCTTTACAGTACTTTACTTAGTCTGCCTATAGTTCAAAAGCTTTACAGCACTTTACTTAGTCTGCTTATGGTTCAAAAGCTTTACAGTACTTTACTTAGTCTGCCTATAGTTCAAAAGCTTTACAGTACTTTACTTTGTTTATGGTTCAGAAGCTTTAAGTGGCTTTACTTAGTCTGTCTATGGTTTAATAGCTTTACAGTACTTTACTTTGTCTATGGTTCAAAGGCTTTACAGTACTTTACTTGGTCTGCCTGTGGTTCAGAAGCTTCAAGTTGCTTTTTTTAAAATTCTGCCTATGGTTCAAAAGCTTTATAGTCTGCTCATGGTTCATGTCTTGGATGATGTTTATATATGAACTTTACATCCTGCCTATAGTTCATGGTTCATATCTTGGATGATGTTTATATATGAACTTTACATCCTGCCTGTGGTTCATGTTTTGGATGCTGTTTATATATGGACTTTTCATCTTCTTGCAGGTGCGTTGGGCTGTGTGTGGTTCATAGCTTGGATGTTGCTCACACACGATACCCCAGCTAAACATCCTAGGATATCAACTTCGGAGAGGGATTACATCGAAAGTTCAGTAGGGACGCAGGAGGTAGTGTACATGATTGATCATTTCAAACTGTTTAATTTTGTCTGTTTCTGTCTGCTGGAAAATCTAGAAAAGGCAAGCCAGAGACCGTCTCTATCCCATGATCACATCAGGAATACAGGGCAAGACCCATAATTTATTGGCAGATCAGCACTTGATGGGCAATGTAGGCATGTCTTTGTACTGATTTATTCTGTGTGGGTTCCCGGGTCCCATTGTGTGGCAGAAAAAAAAGGGGGATAGTTCTAATGCTCCCTAACAAGCATTTCTTAAAAGTTGACTAATCAGTGGTGTTTACTTTGAAGTTAGGACAGTTCTGTATGGAGCAGAAACCTGGAAAACAGACAGAAGGATAGAGAGCATGTTTTGAGGGAAGACTTCTCAGAAGATTGTTGGGGTTTCCATGAGAAGATAAAATCAGCAATTCTAGATTACAACAAATGTAGGAGCGGCATTGGCGCAGTGGATTGGAGACTCGCTTTCAAATCCAGCTGTGATTCGCTGCAGCCAACAGCCGGCATTCGAAACCGGGCGGTTACCGGGGTTCACCCAGCCTCTAGGAAATGGGTACCAGAGTTAATACTTTGGCGTAAATGGAGGAACGCCACTGTAGCTAATGAGTTGCGTGCAGATGTTGACACAGGCCCACAGTTTCTTATCAGCTGTCCGTACTGGTGGCAGAACACTTATGGTTTATTACCGTGTGCAATGACTCTGGTTCACATCTCCCGACTTTACCCTTTTTTTTTTTACATCTTAGAAGATGTAAAGTTAGAAATCAAAAAACGAAGATGGAGGTGGATTGGGCACGTCTTCAGAATGAAGAAAGAGGGACAGGCAGTGCAACGGACACTACAACGACAGGGAGGAAGAGACGGGCCCAGAGGCGCTTGAAGGTGAACTTTCAAGGCTGAACTCAAAGCTACGCGAATGACAAAACTGGGATAGGAGGGCTCAGGATCGAATTGAGTATCGACAGTTTATCTCTGCCTTATGTACCTCTTTGCTGCACGGTGTTGTTCCTACAGTCTGTCTGGTAATATAATTTCTAACTTTGTCTCTGATGGTTCAGTTGACGGCTTTTCTCAGGAATCTCATTTTACATCGGTTACATAGGCCTTTGATAATCATAATTATTTTTTCTGGCACTGGTAGCACAATGTTGGTATTAATATGCTTATGCTATTTATATTCTGTTTCTATACTGTTATCAAATTTTGAAAATTTATTTTTGTTTCCATATCATCAATGTTTCCCTTCGCAATTTTTTTCCCATCTTAATTTTTCCTTTTTTTAAACGCAATTTCATTGTACCTACCTCTTAGTTGTGTGTTTTTGTTAGTTTATGATTCATGTTATTTGTTTTCTTGTTGAAAAAGACAGGTGGAAACATTCAGTTTTATTTGTGCCTCTGTTCTTTTCCTTTTGTTGAACTTTCTAGTCATATTTTTAGTTGTTTCATTATTTCTAGATGTAACAACTGCATTCAATACTTTTTATAGTTGTTTAAATAATTTTTTTCCCTCCCAAATCTTTGACATTTTTTCAATGGGGGTGATGGCTCTAAAGAAATATAGGGAAGGATTGTGTGTGTTGTCCATCAGTATGATGATGATCAGTCTTTTTCATCAAGTATGAGTACGAAGATGACTGATGAAGCCGATGCGGGCCCAAAAAGTTCTTGGACAGTGAGGACAGGGAATGAGTGTTGTGCCAGGGAGGGGATATCCTGCAGTCACCTTTCTGTCCATCTTTTTCTTAATCAGTCTTGCTGTTCTGTATGCTTCACATCTAGCCACGCCCTTGTGTAGAGTTGATGAAAGAGTGACTTGCGCTGTGACTTGGATTAAGGTGAGGAAGAGTTGAGCAGTGTCATTGACCTCACTCTCTCGCCTGAGTCATATCTAGGTCCAGTGGCAAGACAGAGTTAGGAAGGCTGGAGATAGGTTTAGGGGCAGTGAATGACCAGGGAGTTCTACGTGCCTTACCATGCTGTTTGCGCTCCACAGCGCTTTGCACAGGGAAGGATTAAACAGTACATCATGAGAACGGGAGTTAGCCTATGAGATGTTAACGTATTTTAAGATTGAATAATGGCATCCTAGATCACTTTAAATGTTTGCAAAAATAAGCTGCATGATATAACTACCATAATTGTTTGAACATTCCCTGTGTAAGTTCCGAGGCCCCATTGTGGGGAAAGCAAGAATAGACAGACCCACTGCCTGCCCAAAAGCATGTCGTAAGAGTTGTCTAATTGTGAGCTTCCTTCGAAGTCAGAGTGCATCTGCCTAAGAAGCAAGAAACCAACAGTCTGCATGCAAATAATTTAGACGGATGTACACGCAAGACTCAGTTTCTGGAACAGGACTAGAGTCCAGAAGTGGACGAACAGCCAGAACTTTTCCGCCAGAGTTTACAGCCAGCGAAAGCAAAGAAGAAGTTTGAAATTATACTGAACTTGACAACCTTTACTCCTACAGTCTTAGACAATTAATACATAAGCTGCTCAATATTGCATAACCAAACGTTATTGAAAAACAAAAATATTTATTATTGAAATAGAAAAAAACTATATATATTCCAGTTATAACCTGGAGGATTCAATAGGATTGCAGTGATCTTCATTGTTATTAATTTCTGGCTCGAATGAGTCACCGCAACCTTCCGTTCACCGACTGACAAGAACGAGAAAACATGGACGCTGGCAGACGTTCAGAAGTTGCACGTACCGTTTATTTTCACTCGCTGATGTTGCAGTCAGTAAATGTTCATACACAACCGTAGCACTCATCGATTACTTATTCAATGCTCTAAACAGTCAATCATACCTTTGTAACATCGTAGAATACATCACACCACTTAGCGAAACACAGTAGCTCCCTCCATCCAGACGACAGTCATTCACAGCTGGCCACCGTTTCCGTCAGCCGCTATTTTATGCCAGGTAGGCATTGGGAAATCACGCTATTCAGACGTCAACATTCTTCCGAACACATACACCTTCCCTTGGCCTAAACGAGACTGCCTCACAAACCTTTCTTCGCTATTATATAGCCCTCTGATCTGTCATGTTCTCGAATATTCTGGATAATTTCATTCTCACGAATTCCCCACCGTTGAAAGTCGTGTCTGGCCCGTGATAATTCGCATTTCACACGAATCCTGCCAGTCAACCTTCATGGTTTACGTGAACAATCATGTTTCACATAAAACCTGACTTTCAGATGTCTCTCATGAAACTCAAGACATAAATCTCGTGTTATCTCAGTCAGTCAAAACATTCGCCTTACATTTATTACTGACGTCATCTATCGGGCATAAATTAATGGGGAGAAAATGACTCACTTCAAGGATATTGTTTAAATTACTACTACTGTTACCACATGCGGGAGTTGCCGTGGCGTTGGCAGCTAGACGCCTGCCTGCAGATCGGAAGGTTATGGGTTTGCATCCAGATGGAGGCAGACTTTTTTTTTCTCCAAAATGACCTCGACTTCCATGTTGGCCCAGCCTTGAGTGGGTGCCGGGTGCAGTCCTGGGAAGTAAAGGCGGCTGGCGTGATACTGACCACATCACCAACCAAGTGGCGATTGGTGTATAAAATTATAGGTCTAGCCCTATATGCCCAGTACGCGGAAAGGCGTGGAAAAGGGACCTTTACTTTAACTACTACATGTGTATGTGTGTGTATTTTTGTGTTTACCAGTTCAGAGTCAGTTGCCATAATGCCTGTGTGTGGTTTTTTAAAAATTTGTAAAACATTTTTGTGTTTTTGTACAGTGATCAATAAGCACAGCAACTCACAGAAGCAATAAAAAATATAGAAACATGTCTTGTGTCATTGCCCTTAAAACTATTGTTTTCTATCCTTTGTTGTAGAGAGTTCCGACTCCATGGAAAAAAATATTTACAAGCTCAGCTGTCTGGGGTTTAGCTGTTGCCCACTTTTCTAGCAACTGGGGTTTCTATACGCTGCTGACCTGCCTGCCCACGTACATGAAGAACATACTTAAATTTGACATGACAGAGGTAATGGCTGTTTAAGAGTCTTCGTCTGAATTTGATTTTTTTAAAAAAAAGATAAATCAACATGTTATCCTAATAATTATATTTTTAACGATAAATGTACAAGTTCCCCCCCCCCTCCCCCCTCCCCCTTCCCTCCCCCATAAAGTCCTTTACTATTTATTTAAAAAATATAGCTTTAAAATATTTTATTTATGATCATACTGGAAAAATAATTTAGCTCCTAGGTCAACCCAACCTTAAATGGGTACCAGGTAGCAAAATCAGCCAGGCGGGATACTGACCTCATCACCCACCAAGTGCTGATTGGTCTATAAAATATAGGTCTTGCCCAGTATGCCTGAAGGCATGGAAAAGGGTCCTTTACTTAGTTTATACTGGGAATTTTTTTTTTAGTATGCGTTCAATCTAAAAATTGCCTGAAGCCCGCCTTTACTTCCTTGCATGCTCCCAGGTTGGAAACTACTGTTCTAGAAATATAGATGGCTGACTTGATTATGGTCGCGCCCCCCCCCTTTTTTTTTTCAACAAGCATGTCCTAAAAGACAAATAGGGGTTTACTGAAATATATATTGCAGCCTGGTTGAAAAAATTACAACATAAATCTGCAGCTCACAGGCAAGAGATCTGGGGGTACCTAAAGCGACAATTGGCATGTTCAGCTAGTGGTCTGTTGAAACCGTTGCTTCCATTGATTATACGCTGCATTTCTAGCGTCAGACTACAGTGTTGGCACTTCTGACAGGGCCTTATGCATTTAGTGTGTGTGTATGCTATCAGTTTTGCAAGGACTGCTGTCCGTGTCAGTTTGTTTCATAAGGGCAGTGATGGACATTCTCTGTGGTTTTTGTTGGTACAGAAAGGGACTAACTATGGGATATCCCTTTTGTTATGAGGATGGAACTATGATTACCTTATAACGAAATGTACCAGTCTCTCTTTAAAGGATAAGAGTAGAAGAAGAAGAGATAAGAGCAGAAGAAGAAGAGATAAGTAAGTGCAGAAGAAGAAGAGATAAGTGGAGAAGAAGAAGAGATAAGTAAGTGTAGTAGAAGAAGAGATAAGTGCAGAAGAAGAAGAGAAAAGTAAGTGCAGAAGAAGAAGAGATAAGTAAGTGCAGAAAAAGAAGAGATAAGTGCAGAAGAAGAAGAAATATGTGCAGAAGAAGAAGAGATATGCAAGTACAGAAGAAGAAGAGATAAGTGCAGAAGAAGAAGAAATAAGTAAGTGCAGAAGAAGAAATAAGTGCAGAAGAAGAAGAGATAAGTAAGTGCAGAAGAAGAAGAAATAAGTGCAGAAGAAGAAGACATAAGTGCAGAAGAAGAAGAAATAAGTGCAGAAGAAGAAGAGATGAGTGCAGAAGAAGAGATAAGTAAGTGCATATGATGAAGAGATAAGTGCAGAAGAAGAACAGATAAGTGCAGAAGAAGAACAGATAAGTGCAGAAGAAGAACAGATAAGTGCAGAGCAGAAGAAGAACAGATAAGTGCAGAAGAAAAAGAAGTAAGTACATATGAAGAAGTGTAGATATTGTTGTAACTGATGAGTGTGCCTTATTCTGTCTTTCAGAATGGTATTCTATCAGCTATCCCATACGCTGCTTGCTGGGCCGTGCAGAATATATCTGGTTTTACTGCTGACTACTTGCGCAGCCACGGATACTTATCCACTGGAAATACCCGCAAGCTGTTCAACACCCTAGGTAAAATCGCTTACAATCTGATTTCTTATTACAATTTTTTTTAAAGATGATTCTGGCCTAAACAGTCACATTGATATAGTTAGCAAGTTATTTAGCCTTTACTATTGTTGTTGTTATTGATCCAGCGGCGCATGAGCTTTTGCCCTTTGGCCCAATGCCATGTAGTGGAATTTACATGTTTTCACGAGCTATTCTTTTTTCTTCGAACAAGGTGTTTCACTTGTCTGGTCTGAGAGGGAGTAGCATTTTTCTAGTCTCCCTGAGTTTTGGGCACTCAAAGAGATGATCGTCAACAGTTTCGTAGGGGTAGTTACATAGCTGGCACTCTAGGGAGTGTTGTGGCTGTATTCTGTTTAGATGTCCACTGAGTGGAGTATGTTGTGTTCTGAGTCTGAAGATGGTGGCCTGGTCTCTTCTTGTTAGAGGGTTGATTCTGTTGTTAGGATCAGGGCTAGCTATAAGTCTGTAAACATCTCTTCCAGTGTCTTCCATGTTCCATCTTTTCAGCCATGTCTCTTGGTTTATGGCTCTTATAAGTGTCTTTGCTGTCTGTAGGGCTGTCACTGTGGGTAGTTGTTGTGTTGTTCCTTTCTTTGCCAATCTTTCAGCTCTGTCAGTGCCTGGTGTGCCGGAGTGGCCTGGAATCCACTGCATAGTTATTTAGTCAACTGTTTATCTTAATTAGTTATTTACTGAGTTCTCCATCTTGGCTCCATGGTCTTATAGGGGATGGGGGAGTGGAAAAGAGGGGGGGGGGGAATGAAAGAATAAAAGGCGGGTGTTTAGTTTAAAGTCAAAGTGCATCTGCCTGAGAGGTGAGGTGTCAACAGTCTGCACACAAATAAGCCAGGCATGTAAAACGGAAACCCAAGTTCTGGAACAAGACTAAAGTCTTGAAGTGGACAAACAACCAGAACTTTCCACTAGAGTTGTCCTCCAAGACTGTCCCAAACACAACATTTCAGGGCAAAAGTTCTGGCCAAGAGAAACACCGGTGGAAGCCAAACTTTACAGGTCACAGAGTGAGTTAAAAAAAGACAGTGAAGTTCATACTGAGACAACATTGCAGATATAGATAATTTATTTCAAGTGACCGAAAGAAAAAGAAGACTACTTTTACTGAATCCTGCCGTGTTCATTGATTCCTTGGATCTGGCAGGTACTGTGATACCTGCACTGATGTTGGTGACTGTGGGCTTTGTGGGGTGCGACCACGTGTTGGCCATGGTTTTCCTGACCCTCTCTGTGGGCTTTGTGGGCTGTACTATGGCAGGGTATAACGTCAATCACCTGGATATTGCACCCAAGTTTGCAGGTAAGGCTGTTTATAGACTTTCATGTTGCACTAAATTTTGCCGATAAGGCTGTCTATAGGTTTAAAATAAAATTTGCAGGTAAGGCTGTCTGCATACTTTCATACTGCATGAAAAATTGCAGGCAAGGTTGTAGACTTTCATACTGTACCAAAATATGCAATTAAGGTCATCTAAAGACTTTCTTATTGCACCAATATATGCAGGTAAGGTTGTCTATAGGCCTTCATATTGCACCAAAATGTGTGCAGGTACAGCAGTCTGTACAATGTTTCCTGTTAATATTTATAGGAATGTTTCCTGTTGCACCATCTGCAAGTAAGACTATCGCTGGTGGTTGGAGTACTCTCTCTTTTGTTATTGTTGTGCAGTTTAGTTCTTGTTGAACTCACAACATCACTCTTTTCCTTCTCTAGCTCTGCCATCTCTTTAAAACCAAATGTAACTTTTTGGAGACAGAAAATTTAACAGGTAGTTAACTTTCTGTTCCTATGATCTGTTCCCTGTGTCCTGTAGCTATTCTTTGTGTAGGCACGTTTTCTTTTTAGGCTTTCTATAAGCTTCCAGGTGACTTTTCTCATCTTGATAATGCACTAAAATTTGCAAATAGCGATGTACTCTGTTTCCAAATATTTTTCACTTTAATACCACACCTCACATTCTGCAGTTAACAAATCTAAGAGAATGTAATGAGCACATAAAGAGAAAAAAGAGAAACTTCTATATGTAAAGGAAGCAACGAACAGGAGCAATTTACCCTATCATGCAATTTTAACCCTGTCACCCCGGGTATGCAACAACAACAACAAAAAAAAGGTCACGACCATTTAAAAAAATGAAATATATATATATATATAAAGGGAGTAATCACAAGTACTAATAGAGTGAATCATTAAATAGAACACACTCCCTGGGACCTAAAAAAATATGTATCAGGTGACATGCTCATGACCTCTATTACTGGGGCCTACTGGTCTACTGTTGGCGCCTGTGGCTTAGGCGCTGCGAATGCACTTCGTAATGTCGGGTTTGATCCCAGCTGCCAGCTTTGTGCCTTGCGTTGGTTTCGACAGTGGTATCCAGAAAGCAATGGCAAACTACTATACATAAATTTGCCTAGAATAACCACAACAGCCAAGAAATGCTGGGGTTGTTTCTGCAACGTCCTGTAAAGGATACGCAACTAACTAACTGGAAAAAATAGACATCAGCCTGGCTTTAGAAAAACTATTTGGTTCATATTCTGGCCCACTAATTAATTTGTGTATGAACTCAGAAAGTAGTTATTTAACTATGCGAGTTCATTTTAAAAAAATGTGTGCTAATATGAAACTAATAATAATGATAAATCCCTGCTGCGACTGAAATTTGGTTTATGTTAACGAGGTGCACTTCCTAAGTAAGCAAGTTCATGTTAATGCGGTTTAACTGTAATTCTATTGCTGTTATTGTTTCATTCATTCACAGGTATTCTTTGTGGTATAACCAATGGTCTGGCAACCATACCTGGGTTTGTTGGCCCCGCTGTTGTTGGATACTTGACAAATAACAATGTAAGTAAATTTTTTGGGGGGTTGGGTGGGGGGGGGGGGGGGGGGGGGGGTTTCTTTTTGTATGCTTTTCTAGCTTTGCATACAGTTTCTAGAGCTGTTATGTTCACCTTTAATCTACTGCCAGCTTGCTGGACCTTTTGCCAGTGGCATTCCTAGGTCAGGTGGTATCTTGTGCAAACAATTTCCTGTGGAGCCCCCCCCCCCCTTTTTTTTTTCACACACACACACACACACACACACACACACACGAATAAACATTGGTTAAATGTTAAAAATACATATTTTTGCCATTTAAGCTTTGTGGGTTCCAGTAAAAGAACATTCTAGCTAAACTATTATTAGGTTTTCTCAGTGTGTGTCTAATCCAGCTCCAGAATTTGTTGAAGAATTACTAGAATGAATTTCCCCCCTTTCTCTTGCCCTATCTCTCTCTCTCTCTCTCTCTCTCTCTCTCTCTCTCTCTCTCTCTCTCTCTCTCTCTCTCTCTCTCTCTCTCTCTCTGTCTCTGTCTCTGTCTCTCTCTCTTTCTCTGTTAACTCTACATGAGCAGTTGTGTCATTCAGTTTTACTCGTTTTCACTGTTAACTAAATTGTGTATTTATTTGTCAGGAAACCCGACATCAGTGGCAGATCATCTTTTACATCACTGGCGTCATCTACTTCATCGGCGCCTTCTCATTTATCGTTTTTGCTAAAGGAGAGGAGATGCCTTGGTCACGAGCCTCACCAAAAGAATCTGACATCACTGTAGTTGTTCCACAACCACCACGAAGGGAGAGCATTGTCTCAGTAAATGGAGATCCACCTCCTGCCTACACTGAATGAAATTGTAACAACAGGAAGTTTATTGTTCACACAGTTTTGGCAGTAAGAAATAAATTCTTACATATTTAAATAGATACAAGAGAATACATTGTAGCTGGGGATCTAATGCACAGAAGTAGCAGAGCTGGGTATGTTTGCTACTTTTGAATTCTGTAAAAAAAAAAAAAAAAAACATTTATACAATGGCGCTTTCCTGTTAAAAAAACCCCACAAAAAATTTAATGCATAGTTATCCAGTGGTGCTTTTTTTTTATTAGTGGACAGGAACGCCAGTATGCCTGAAAAGTATTGATACCCCAGATGCAGAAGAACTATCAGTTGATTAGTTGAACACTAAAGTATTCTTAAATGCAATTTAAACATTTTTACTCATTGAATTACAAAGATGGTGTGTCAGAAATGATGACAAAATTGTATTCCTTTCTTCTTCTTCGCCTTCTTCTTTGTTCACTGGCTGTCAGCTCTGGCAGAAAGTCCTGCCTATTGTTGACTCTTACAACATGCTTGTTGGAAGGCAGTGGGTCTGTTCTTTTCCCCACAATGGGGCCCCGGAACTCACACAAGGGGAAGTAGTAATAGTAATTTAAACAACATCCTATTTTCAACCAATCCAGGTTATAACCGGGATATTTAGTTTTTTTTAAAATTTTAGTAACAAATATTTATGTTGATCAATTATGTTTGGTTATGCAATATTGAATAGCTTATGTAATAATTGTATAAGACAGGGATTGTAGGAACCCACACGGGGAATGTTCCTTTCAATAGCTATACATTTCTTTTTTTAAGTAGTAAAGCGCCGTTAGATAACCATGCTTTTTTCACTGACATAGTTTTGAGTTGAAGATTTATAGTGTGAATGCCAGTGATTGTTTTTTTAAAATAAACTTAAGTAAGGACAGCAGTGCATACTGACTACTTTCTACCATGGCATGGAAGTAGAGATACTCAGGGTGGGGAAAGCTTTGCATATTAATATGGGGGAGTCAGGGCGATTTTGAAGCCAAGTCCTTTGAGTCTATACACAAGCGTTAATCCATGTTTAAGTGTGCAGTTATTATTTTTTTAATTTGCTGAATGACAAATAAATATAATATTGTGTTTAGCCTAATTCAAACAACTTGGAACCCGAACAAAATTGTCAAGTAAATTTTGCCTCGAATTTTCAATGCTTCATTGGAAATTAAATGCCTGGCATATGCCATTTGGCAGTGCAAAAGCTTCAGCACCTTCACAAGCAACAGTGAACAACTTGGGATCCGAACAAAAGTGCCAAGCTAATTTTGCCTCTGAATTTAAATGCTGAATTAGAAATTGAACACCTCTGGCATGACCCAGGTGAGAGTGCAAGAGCTTTGGTGCCCTCACCAGCAGCAGAAGGCAGAAATTCCCAAACAGTTTCTTCATGGAAGAAAGAGGGAAATTGTAAGGATTAGCACTGCCGAAATCCAAGATCTGTCAACCATGAGGCCAAAAGCCCAAATTTGTGTGGCAATTTGTGCAGGCACAAACAAAAGGATAAATCTACACCTGCTGAAGATTGGAGATTATGTTTTCTGTCTACTTTATTGACAGGGTACAATTTATTTTATGAAATATTGAGATTTTACACATTATTTTATTAGACTGTGGCATTGTTTGTACAGTGGAACCTTGTTAGCTCAAACTCACTTTGGAAGAACACTTAAAATGAACAGAATTTTGGTCCCTGCTTGGCATACATTTTTTCAATGTGAACTCTGAACTTGATTTTTCAATTTCTGGAGATTCATGTTAACAAGGTTTTTGTGTGTGTATATATATATATTTATATATTTAAAAAATGAAATGATGAGGTCCTTGTTAAATTGTCAAGACAAATGCCTGACGCTCGTGGATTCATTTCAAGGATGTATTGTTTTGTTTCATGAGTGAAGTTTTTACAGTTATCACTGGGGGTGGTAGCTGCAAGCTGTGAAGTTCAAACTTTATCTGGTGTCTCGGCAGGTGGCTAGTCATTCTGCAGATAGAGACTGAGTCCTGTAAGGTCAAACCCGGTGCAACAAAGTTGATTCTTCTGACTTTAACTTTAGGAAATGTTGAGTTTCTGGGCATACGTTATTTAATGTCATTGTGTATAGATGATTTTATGAGATGTTGAGACTATTGAAAACATATACGATTGTATGCACAAATTATTTGATGAGCTGTTGAGATTGCATATACAATCTTCTTCTTTTCGTTTCTTTTTTCTTCTTTTGTTGTTGAGATTTTGAGAAAGAAGGGGATGAAGATGATACATTGAGCATACCCTGAGGAGAGACTGAGAATCATCAAAAGGGGAAACATGTGAAATGAGAAAATAAGATGTCCACATTTATGATAGGCCAGAGATAGGGACTAGATTCCATCCATGAGACTGAAAGGGTTGTACATTAAATAATGGAATTGAGGAATAGACTGCAAGTCCAAGGTGATATTGAAATGGCACAACAGGGTAGTGACATGAGATATTGAGATTGTGTTTACATTATTTTTTATGGGATGTTGAGATAGTGATCACATTATTTTTTTATGGGTTGTTGAGACTGTGATTACATTATTTTATGGGATGTTGAGATATAGATTACATTATTTTTTATAGAATGTCGAGATTGTGCATGATTTAGCTGTTATGTTGAGATTGTATGTGTACATTGTTGAATGAGGTGTTGACATTTTGTGGCAGATTGTTCTTTGAGATGGTGAGATTGGATGCATAAACTATTTGGTAAAATGTACAGATTCCGTGCACACATTTTTTTATGACATGTTGAGATTGTGTGTATAAATTATTTTATCCCATGTTGAGACTGTATACAATTTACTTTAGGAAATGATAAATTGAACATATAGAGGATGATATACTTGATTTTGAGCTGTTGATAAATACAGATATGGGATCTTGTCTTGATTTTGTTGTTTTCTGTGTTGAGAGGTCTTTCAGTATGAGACTTTCTGCCTGGAGATTTCATTTAATTTAGAGCAACAACCTTTGAGTCTCAGTGAACTTTTTTCTCCACGTTCACCGTCTGTTAATCTTTGGGGGAATATCCAGTTCTGGACTTTGATCTTTTTCTGAGACATGACTTTTGCATGCACATCTGTTTCACATATCTAGCTTATATTGTATGCAGACTATTGGTTCAAGCAGATGCACTCTGACTTTGAAAGAATCAGTGAATTAAAATTATAGAAATAGAAAACAGGGGCCATCAATACCACAAATGGACACTAGAAACATCTGGGCTTTGAAAAGTTGTTGATTCTGTTTGAAGCTTATATTTCCTAGTCTAGCAAGTAAAGGGATGAATATGAAGGTTACCTTCATATTCGTCCCAGGTCATGCAGGTGTTGTTGGTAATGAAAGAGCTGATAGACTAGCAGGTGCTGCATTAATTGAAGATGGCCAGCCCATTAATCATGCAGACATTGTCACTGTCTTTAGAGAGATAGGACGTTCTGAGTATTTTGGAAGCAACGTGTCCACATCACTGCTAAGTATATGAGAACTGGGAGTCAAGATTGGCCCACCCAAGCATGAGAAGCACACCAAACGCACACAGTCTTGTTAACCAACATAGGACTGGCACTATTAACCGTGCAACGCTGATGAATATGTTAAGAGGGGAATCTGAGCACCTATGGATGTGTCCGGAGTGCTGTGAAAATAATCTAACTCATAATTCGTAAGTGAAGGATCTGTTTTCTGCCAGTAGTGCATTGGGCATATTCTAGACTCATATTTTTTAAGCCAATATGCATTCAGGAGGAGTCACCGTAGGGTAGCAGCTGGACGCTGGCCTGCAGATCGGAAGGTCGTGGGTTCACTCCCTGGCGGAATCGGACTTTTAAAAAAAAATGACCTTGGCTCTCAGTAAGGTCCAGCCTTGAGTGGGTACCGGGTGCAGTCCTGGGAATTAAAGGCAGCCGGTGTGATGTTGACCACATCACCCATATTTTGCCATTGGTCTATAAAATATAGGTCTAGCCCTATATACCCAATATGCCTAAAAGGCATGTAAAAGGGTCCTTTACTTTACTATATGCATTCAGTGGGGATGGGATCACGCCAGCTGCCTTTTCTTTTCCAGGATATTACCAGGTACCAATTTTAGGCTGGGTAAACTTTGAAGTTAAGATCAGTTAAAAAAAAAAATAATAATAATAATTTAATGCAAAAATCGCCTCAAAACGTTCAGGCCTGCATAAATGAGACTGAGGTTTGAACAACAGATCAACATCATGGCACACGGGTAGTAACCCATAAGTGCTCCGTTCTTCTTCTAACTCAAGTCTTGAATCCGAAGAAGCTCAGCACAGTGCACAGGCTCTGTAGCACCGGCGAGGATATTGAAATACTTTGGGTAGATTTTTAACTCTCAATTTTTGCCTGAGCAGCACTGTTGGGCTACTCTTTTCGATTTCCAACTGCCAAGGGATTTATTATGTGCACCACAATGCACACGGGTGTCCGATCTCTCTACACAGAGACCAGGGGGGATTACTGGAAGTCCATGTCCACTTGAAAAAATCCCAGCCCTTACCGGGGATTGAACCCAGAACCTCTAGCACTCAAGGGGGACACCAGGCCTCGAGACCACGCAGCCCCCTTTGCATAAATGAGTGTCTATACTTTTTGTACTTCTGACATAATTCAAGATGGTGGCTGTTTGAGCACTTACACATAGAAACAGTTCAGACTAACAAGAGAGGAGATGGCTGAATATCTGATGTCCTAACACCTTGGGATACAAAATCCATATGTATGTACACCCAAGTAAGATCAAGGTATACTCTAGCAAAATAAGTTGCTGAATTTGGAGGCCAGAGAGAGCACATCTAAATGATACTCACAAGGAGGCACTCACATCAGTCTTTCTCCAAAACAGTAGTTCTGGCTACAACAGTGACAATGAAACCTCCATCACCAGCATAAAATCTTGCTCTGATGATCAAACCACACATTTCTCTTTAGAAAA